CAATGTTTCATTGCTCCTTCACTCCTCCCCCTCGCGATCTACAGCTGGAGCATAAACAAGCAACCAAGAGCTGCTTTAGCAGCCCTCGCTAAACCCACCAAGTTCCACGACAGCTTCACTGCCCCGTTCTTCTTCCATTGCCCCGTTCTTCTTCCCTTCTTCGGTTCACTCAAACAACGAGGGTATTTATCCTTACTCATCCACGACCCAACATCCCTGAAATCACAACCACTCGCTGCTTCTTCCTACATGTGTCCCTTCGCTCTCGTCGATCGTGAGACTTCTCCCTCATCACAATCTGTAATCACCGATACCTCCCGTTGTCCCCTTTCTGTCTTGCAAGGAACCAAGGATCGAATCCCTTAAAATCAAAGTTAGTGTTTGATTTCTCCTCTACTTGCAATGATGCTTCCTTTCCTTTTGCTACCTTGTGTTCATACGTGTTTATCCATTGCCCGATCATACATTGAACACGGGAATGCCATTAAAAGCCATAATTCATTTTAGATTGTGAAAGGAAAAATTCAGGATATATATATATATATATATATATATATATATATATATATATATATATATATATATATATATAGAGAGAGAGAGAGAGAGAGAGAGAATTATTTTCTTTTTTATTTTCTTTTAATTATGAAAATATTTAAATAAATAAAAAAAGCTAAAAAAAAAATAAAAGAAGAAGGATAAAATCATCATTACAAAAAAAAAATTAAAATTGGATCAAATTCGCAACAAAATGAAAACTTTGGACCTGTTGTACTCGTCAAAAACTTTTTGGACTAAAGTTGCAATTTTTAGCAAACCACCGGAACCATTTGTGCATTTTTGTCTTTTTTTTAATTATTTTTTTGAATTTCTTTTTATTTGATTAATTTTTTTATTGGATTTTTATATATTAACTAATATTCATTAATATATTAATATTATGTATTTAAAATAATATTTATTCATATATAAAAATTAAAAAAAAAAAAGAATTCATAAAATAATAATAAATTTTAAAAAGAAACTAAATAAAAGAAATTAATCAAACAAAATTTCAAGAACAAGTTCCAAACACCCACATCTTTTAATTTGTTTTAAATATTCGAGAAATAACATATTTTAGACAAAGTCATCACTATTAATTGGTCCGATAATGGTGATTTTGTCCAAAATATTTCTCAAAGTTCGGTCCAAAAAAAAATTAATACAATAGAAATTAAAAAAAAAAAAAAACTAAAAGAAGATAATAATCTCATAAAGTACTATTCATTAATATATATATATATATATATATATATATAATTAAAAATAATATTTTTTAATATAAAATAATCCAAAAAAATTAAAAAATAATTAACTAAAAGAAAACAATACTTCAATAAAATAATATTATTAATATATGAAATATTATATATTAAAAATAATATTTATTAATATATAATAATCCAATAAAAAAAATTAATACAACAAAAATAAAATTTAAATACTCAATTGCAGAAATTGTCTCTGAGGTAAAATTGTAATTTGAGAAAAGTTAACAATTAAGCTGTTAAAGTTAATGATATATGACAAAATCCGTATAAGGTATCCAAAATTGGATCACTGATACACCACCGAACCTTTTTCGACCAAAACATATAATTTGATTTTTGGAATTTTGTCTAATATCAACCTCCATTTGAAGAGAAGAAACATGGGAACCAAATCGGCCCACGTTCATGAATTCATCACCATACAAACACATGCTAAAAAGAAAAGAGAAGAATACAAAAAAATAAAATAAAAGCAGGAGGGCGAAAAGTGCAAAATACAAATAACGACGACAAAATCAGGTGGGGCGGAGGGCAAGGCTGAATGGTGGGGACTCCGTAAATACGCTTTCAAGTTTCACCTTTTACTTTACAAGAATATTTTCACTATTGGTCCACACAAATATGGTGACTGTGCAAGCATTGGTCCATATTTGGATTTTTTCATTTTTAGCTTTCTTCGTACTCTTTCGATAGATGCCACCACAATTCTTTTATCATATTGTCCAGGGTCGGTCCAGATGCTGGGCAACCTGGGCGACTGCCCAGGGCCCACGTTTCCAGGAGCTCAAAATCTATGGACTATGTAGTTTATATATATAAAAAAAATTATTATCTAAATGATTTTTAGGGTCTAAAGTTGGTTCAAACTCAAACTAGTTCAAAAGATAAACAAGTTGGCTTTCTTGTTAGTGCTAATTAAACACGTTTATAGTGAAAAATAAATGACATTTTTTTTTAATTTTTATTATATTTGTCTTTAAGAAGCCATTTTTTTCTTTTCGCCCCGGGCCCCATATATGTTTGGACTGCCCTGATATTGTCCGACCTGTATTCATGGATTTAGCTATAAATTGTTAATAATTTTAATGTCATTAAATCATTTACACGATCACAATAATTCATCAGATGGTAATGTAAATTTCTGATATATTGCGAGTTTAGAAGTTATAAAATGCATGCTAACGTAAGTTGATTCGATCTCAAAAACACAAATTCTTAAAGGCATCACACCTGGTGAGATCTAAGGGCGGGTCCAGGTGGAGTCATGGCAACTTTGTGGGGTGCATGGTTGTCCTCCGACCCATAAAAGTATCCTCTTTAAAAGATATATATATATATATATATATATATATATATATATTATATATATATTTGTTACGAATAGAAGCAAACTTGTCAAAATTAAATTTCCTCTCTTATATATATATATATATATATATATATATATATATATATATATATATATATATATATATATATATATATATATATATAGGGTAAATCGCATATACCTAACAACCTTATATAAGTTTAGGTACCTAACTCCATAATACTACATCGGTTTGTATCATATTTACATTGTAGTTGTCTAAGGTTCTTAAACTTCAACCCCATAACTTGATTACTTCCAAAATCTTTAGACTTCCACCAATATCATTCTTTTACATCACATTTTTCTATCGAATACCACCTGATGGACTTCATATCCTACCGCTACAAATGAAAAGATGTAGGAGAAATATAATGATGAATTTCCAAAAAATTTTGAAGTAATTTAAGTTTATGGATAAAGTTTAAGAAATTTGGATGATTGCAATAAAAATTTAATGCAAAATAACGTGGTTTTATGAGGCTAGGTACCTAAGCTTATATAAGGTTGTTAGGTATATTCACTTTACCCACATATATATATATATATATATATATATATATATATATATATATATATATATATATATATATATATATATACAACCATAGTTGTTACGAATAGATGCAAAATTTCTTGTTAAAATGAAATTTCCTCTCTCTCTCTCTCTCTCTCTCTATATATATATATATATATATATATATATATATATATATATATATATTTCAAATAAAAGCTATAAATAATTTGAAAACATAAAAACAATATTTTTTTATGATATTATTCTGCAATGAATTTTGTATCGATAACATTATGTCATTATTCAGCAATGAATAAATCAATAGCCACATGTTAAAACTAGGGTTGTGCAGAAAACCGCACAAATCGCATAAGCCGCCCGCACTGCACCACACTGCATCGAATATAGCGGTTTGGAATATTAGCGGTGCGGTTTGTGGTATCAATTTTTTTCAAACCGCATTAAGCGGTACGGTTTGCGGTTTTTAAATTTGAAACTGTGGTCCAGACCGCACCGCTATATATATATATATATATATATATATATATATATATATATATATATATAATATATATATATATACACACACACACACAAACAAAAGAAGAAATAAATTGAAGGATAGAAAGAAGTTCATTAGATTGCATAGTTTTGAATTGATTTCATAATTAAAGTTAAGTTTTTATATAATTCTAATTAGGGAAATCTACGGAAAAGTCCTAAAGTTTTTCCCCAATTTATGACTTAGTCCTAAATTAATTTTCACTTATGAAAAAGGATGGGTTACCGGCTATTACACTCAGTTTAGCCCTACAAACCGGTAACCCTTGTATTAGCTAGTTACCCCAGCTGACTCGTCCTTATTACCCTCTACTAACCTCCCCGTCACCCACTCCTCTATAAAAAAACCCCTTTCTTACCCTCCGTCGAAGCAAAACTCTACCAAAATGGCATCTTCAAGATCAGTGGGAAGCAGGAGCAATATCCGATCACGAAGGCAAGCATTAAGGGCAACATGCTTTTGTGAAGACCTCGTTGGTAAGTGGACATCATAGAGGCCAACAAACCCTGACAGGAGGTTGATCGACTGCCCTAATTTCAGGGTAAGTATCCCTTAATCATCTTTAATTACATCTCAAATCTCTTCCAATTAGGTTTTATTTCCTATATAACAGGATGAGGAAAAAGATTGCAAGTATTTTGCTTGGGTCGATCCCCCATTATCAAACAACTGGTATAGAAACATGTTGATGGATTTGCACAGTAATGGTATTCAAGTACATAATGAGTTCGTGGAAGAATTTGTGGATTTTCACAAGAATGGCATTCAAGAGGTTCATGTACAAGGTGAAGGTGAAAATTGGAAGAACGAGTATTTTTTTTTGTGTTTGTTGGTGATTGTGTGGATTATGTTGAAGTAGTTTTAAGTTGTAAATTTTTTGGCAATGTATGTAATCTTCATTACTTAAATGATAGTTGGATGTAAGTTGTATGTTGTTGAATGAAAAATGGTTTTATGGATACCTACTGTTTCAGCAATGTACAATTGTAAGTTTATGATGTGAGTAAACAAAGGATTTTTTTCAACATAACATAATAACCAAAATGGATGTAACTTATACATCAACAAAACATACCATAATCAACCAAAGTGATAACAATGTAGCCATATTGTATATTGTTTACAAAAGGAATGGCATATTAACAAATTTAGCAAAAAGGGATTCCTAACAAATTTGCCCAAATATCCCATATAACTGCTTAAATCTTAATCAATCTAATCCAAAGTAAGAGGTTTCTATGGAGCCATTCTTATTCCTTTCTTTTCAACCACAATTTTCTTCAACATGTTTTCAATGATCCTTTTAGAAGGTTTTCTTGTTCTAACCCTGACTTGAGCTCTAACCCTAAATTGAGTATCATCAACTCCCTCTTCATCATCCTCAGCTCCATCTTCATGATTGCCCTCCTGTGATTCTTCAACTCCATCTTCATAATCACTCTCTTCTTTGTTTTCATCATTTTCCTCTTGTGTTTCTGGTACATGTTCACTCACAAAAGGCACATCCTTGAATGGAAAAAAAAATACAAGTTATTTATGTTATTGAAAAATAAAATTCACTCTCAATGTTAAAAGATATACCTTTGCATCTTGTTTGGATTGGTGAAGCAAAGCATAAAATCCTGTAAGTTGTGATTAGGTGATATTAAAACACAAAAGGATCTCTGCTGCACTGTATTTTCACTCTCTAACGTAAATCAAATCATGCAGTATTTGATCCAGATCAGCCATATCAAGATCATCACCTTCAACATCAATATTAACATCTGCTTCCTGTGTTTCTGGTAAAATGTTCACTATCAACAGTAGGTGCTGTTTGGGTGACAAATTGACTCTCAACATTAGGTGATGTTTGGGTGACAAACTGAGTCTCAATCCAAGGTTCTTTTTTCCCAGAACTTTCACCTTCTTCATAAAAACTGGTAGAGCCTCTTCCACTACCTCTTCTACTACTTCTACCCCCTATTCTACCACTCTTCTGCTACCTCTTCAACCTCTCCCATCACCTCTCCCAAGTCTTGTGCAATTGGTCAATTCTGGATTCAACTTTGGCCTTTCAATTTTCTTCTTAGGCTTTGGTGCTGATTGACTAAGGGGTTCTTGCAAGATACTTTATTGTGCCCTATTTTCATATAATTATGACATTAGACAATTGTGCCCTTAGAGGAGACTTAGGAGAACCTATCTTCATGCTCAGAGACATGCATTTTCCTTTTCATACAAGGCCTTCCTAGCATTGTTCTTTCAATAGGTGGTAGTGGTTTGATGCAAGGTGTTGGTTCCCACATATCACTGCCATCAATAGGAAGGATGTTAGACTCGTAAGTAGCTAAAAACTTGTCCTTAACAAACTATGTTCTGATTAATCTAGCTGGATCTTGTTGTGTATAAATTATTGTTGCTTGGGCATAGACACAAGGGATCCCAACCAACTCCCAAAGTTTGCATATACAGTACATCCCCTCTAATTTCACCCCATATAACTGGAAGCCATTTCTCACTTCATAAGCATTCAAACCACTAGGATGAACATACCAACTCCTGCAAACACATTAAAAAATTTAATTAGTATACATATTTATATCAATACTAAACTTATATATTGTCTTAATTTTATAATACTTACTTGATATCAAAACCAAACTCATCCATTTTCTTAATAGGTCCTAGACATACATCATTCACCCATTTACGTGCTTCTTGCTTCAAGTTAAATAACCTTTCCATCATATATAGTCTAATCTCCTCAAGCATGGCCAATAAAGGCTTCTTTCTAGCATCAACTATGATGGCATTAAATCACTCAGCCATTCCATTTTCAACAGCCTCATATGTCGTTCCACCTTTAAAAAAAAAGCCCTGCGCCATGATTTAGGATCCTTTGCCATCAAATGATCATAAGCAGCATGATTGACTTCTCTGATCTTCTCCATATCCAATTTGAAGTCTCCCTCAACAGTTGACTTGTAAATTTTCCAAAACATATTCTTGAACTCTATACCATTGAAGACCTTTCTGAATTTGGCATACACATGTCTTGCATATTTTATGTGCTTCACATGTGGTAGTGCAACCTTTACAGCTTCCAAAAGACCATATCAATTACATTAAAAAAAATTCATTTGTAACTGCTTGATACATGTATAAATGAAATGAAAAAAAAGATAATCGAAAACATTACCTTGTGTTGATCAGAAATAACACACAAATCCAAGCTTCCTTGTAATTCCAGGTCATCATGCAATAGTTCCAAGAACCACTACCAGTTGGGCTTGTTCTCAATTTCAACTACTGCCTAAGAAATGGGATACACGTGGTTATTTTCATCCCTCCCTATGATAAATAACAGCTCACCTTTACATTGTCCCTTAAAAAAAACTCCCATCAAGCCCAATAACTCTTCGAAAACCAACTTTCCATCCTTATTTGATAGCCTTAAAACATGTATACATTATATGGAAAGTAGTAGTGTTATCAAGGTTTACAATGACATATGTTTGAATTGTACTCCTTGGATTCAACCTCATCAACTCATGTCCATAATCCCATACTTTTGCATAGTGATCAGTCAACCATCTATTAAAGAAATTTCTCTACAATTTGCAGTATAACATTTTGACCATGAAACCTTGCAATGGAACCTACTTTGAATAATAGCTTGCATTTCCTTACATTTCAGATTTGGTTTCCTAACCATCTCCTTCAGAAATTGCCTAGCTATTCATGTGGGATCCATAAGATTAGCACTACGGAAATTCCTAACACGAGTATGTTGCTCAACCAGTTTTTTGATTTGGAATGATCTTTCAATGCTCATCCATGAGGCCCTTACAACAAAGGGACATTGAAATTTCTCAGGGTCACTTGCACATAAAGCCACGAGCCTTACACTATCACATTTCTTGAACCTAATTTGATAAACCCTACTTATAGAGTAATTTGTCAAACAAAGATTTAGTTGGTGTGGTGATTCATACCTCTCCCCGCAAACTGGCTTCATATTGTTCCATTTCACATTTGGATCATGGGTTAAGTATTGAAACTGCAATTTGATTTCATCATCACCCTCACCGTCACTTAGCTTCTCCTGTGGTGCTTCATCTTCCGACATTCCTTCAAAATCATTTAGGTTTATCTCAAGTATGGTGCATTCTTCAAGCGCTTTGTCTGTGAGAATGTTTAGGAACTCATCTTTGCATAGACTTCTTTGTTTGTGTTTGAAAAACTCATCCAATTTCACATCAATGGTATCCAAGTCATTTATTGTCTTTATTATCACCACAAAAAAACTAATCAAATATTATAAGGGAAACAAGATATTGGAGGACCGCGTGGATTTTTTTACCTTTGATTCATCTCATGTAGAGTTTTACTTTGATGGAGGGTAAGAAAGGGTTTTTACAGAGGATGAATAGATGATGGGGAGGTTAATGGAGGGTGATAAGGACAGTCAGCCGGGGTAACCGGCTAATACAAGGGTTACCGGTTCGCATGGCTAAACTGAGTGTGATAGTCGGTAACTCGTCCTTTTTCATAAGTGAAAATTAATTTAGGACTAAATCATAAACTGGGGAAAAACTTTGGGACTTTTCCGCAGATTTCCCTTCTAATATTGATAATTGTGTAGAGTATACATGGTAATCATAGGTTAACTTCTATGTGTGTGACAATTATCATAGACAATTTGTTTTTTGAGCTAATTGTTTATATGTTTTTATTTTCATTATGATTATAACGTATAATACTTTTATAACATATATAATTCTTTAAACCGCATAAAATTGCACCGTACCGCCGAAAACCACATTGCACCGCATAATACGGTTTACATGGTTCGCGGTGCGGTTTGTAGTTTTCGAAAAACTTAAACCGCATATGTGGTACTGTTTGCGGTTTTAACTGTAAAACGTACCAAACCACACAACGAATACCCATAGTTTAAACTAATATTAGAATATTACTACAAATATGCACATACATAAATTTATAATAGAATAATAACATTCTAATTAATATATGAATAATTAAACATTAATATTCATATTAGAATTATTTCAACAATACACTTATACAACATTCATTATAGAATACTAACATAAACATAGTGTTTTTTTTTACGTTTTTGCACTATTTAATATTTTGAAAGGCTTATACTTTTTCCATTGTTTTTTCTCTGCGAATTGTTATCCCGAACACATTATACAAAGCAAGTATTATGTATTTTATTTGAAAAAATTCCTTTGAAACCGAGATTGTAACACTCAAAATGGGTATGTTTCCTTTTAGCCCTTCATAAGTAAAATACTGCATTTTTGGTCCTTGGGGTTAGTACGCGGGGAGTACCATAGGGTACGCTTAGAGTACTAGTTGACAAGCTTGTATGTGGGGTGTACCACATGTTATACTTAGCATACTAATGCAGAAGATGGATCGCAAATTTGAGCCTCGTACGTTGGGCATACGAGGGTTACGCAGGGCGTGCAAGGGGTTTAATGAAACCCTAATTATAAGGTGTTGCACCCTATATAACCACCTTAAGTCCCAAGAGTCGACCTCTTTATCATCCTTCATTGTCCTAAAACCCTAATATCAAACCCTAATAGCATCTTTGAGTGTTATCAACCCTTTTGTGGCGTATCTTTGGTGAGTTGGTGCTTTTGGAAGAAGAAGGAGTTGGTGAAGAAGCTTTGTTGGAGCTTGAGCTTGTAGATCCAGAGGCTAGGCACCTTTCTCAGTTACAAGAAGGTATAAAGTCTCAACTTTGATCTTTGTATGCTTACATCTCTTCATGTTATGGTTTCATGCTTCATTGTCCCTTTTTGGTTGGCCTCGATGAGTTAAGGCCGTTTTAGAAGCTAAATGTTTGAGGGTTCTTTATGTATAAAAATGCAAACTTTATGGCATTGGTAGTCTCCTAGATACATTAAGTCACTTGTTAAGTTCTTTAGAGCTCTAAGGGCCTCATTAAGGCATGCATGCATGTAAAGATGGCAACTTTACATGATAACCCACCTTAAGGAAGTCAGATCTAAGTGTTGGAGTGAAGTTTTAACCGTTTTAAGAGCTGAATGTAGAAGTTGGCCAATCATGGAGAGTACGTTGGACGTACAAGCAGGTACACACCGTGTACAAGCCCTAAAGCGAGTACGCTTAGTGTACAAGCTGAGTACACCCCACATACTCAACAGTGGGCTTCATTGATGTGGCTTCTTGGTATTGGGCCCATTTTGGACCTTAGAGCCCTAGGGCTTTATTTTGGGCCATCAGAATGTGGTCTTGGGCTAAGAATATTTTTGGAGCTTGGTTTAAGGCCCATGAAGGGGTTTGGGCCCAATTTGGAAAATTGGGTCATAGTTGGGCCTTGGGTGATTATTTTAGAATTTGGACCTTTGGAAAATTCGGATTGGGCTTGGGCCTTGGGCCAAATATAAGGAAGGGTAAAAAGGTCTTTTACCCTAGTTTGGACTCTTAGGGAGAGTTAGGATCCAATTATTAATTGGATGATGTTGTGTGATTTTAGTGGGCCAGTAGCTAGAGACTTATTTGTGAGATTCAACGGTATGAGGTGAGTTTCCTCACTGTATTTAGCAGGTCGAAGACACCAATGCCGGCCCATGGTATGTTATGCTTGAATATTAGATGTCTATATGACTCTGGTATGCGTATGTTCTTGTATGCTTACTGGGCGGGGACCGATGGTTATTCTACATGCTATTATTTGTTATGCTTATATGATTTGTATGTGGGGGGAGAATTATATGAGTTTAGGTGTGGCCTGTTATACTCAGTGGGCGGGGCCCGTTATATGAGTTTGGGCGAGGCCCGTTATACGAGTGTAGGTGGGGCCCAGTACACTCATTTGGCAGGACCCGTTATGTGATTATTTATGTATGGTATGTGGTATTTTGGGGAACTCACTAAATTTTGGTCTTACGGTTTTCAGTTTATGTTTAAGGTAACTCTGGTTTTAAAGGGAAGAGTTTGGGATGATTGCAGAGCACACACCCTTCATTTATGCATCAATGTGATTTACTTTGATATTGATGATGTATTGATACATATGATAATCTTGATTTTATAATAATGTTTTGGGTTGTTGTTTTATTAATCTAAAAATGAAAATTTTTGAGGTCTTTATTAATGGGACGTTACAGACTTACACGGATAGTAATTTTGCATTATTCAAATTTAGTTTCATATAGCCTCACCTTTATAGAGTTGAATTAGAGATTTTGGAAAGTATGTATATACGCCCCCATAAATATCTAAGTTGTTATTAATATTCATTATCCCTATTTTCTAACGTAAACAAATTTTATAGTCTTTCATTAGAAGCAAGCTTGTAAAAGTCGATATGTGGTACTAAGTCAATTGACTAGCCATTAGAGATTAGCCAATATAGTTAGGGATTGATTGACGATTAGTCGAGGTCCTTAAATTGTAAATCTATTGTTTTTTTAAATACGACTAATAAAGTAGGTAATATGACTAATATCATAACAAAATAAATTAATATAACTAATACAACACTATACTCTCTCAAATAATTTTCATTGGGATAGAACTCCTTGAAGATGTTAAATTTTTTTTTGGCTTCGACAACTTTACTAACTGTCTAGACATTGTCTATACAGATTAATCTCTATGCGTCACCTAATCGGTCACATATTGCCTAGGATTAATCGGGGACTATTTAAGATTTTTACAACAGTATATAGAACTAAATAAAAATCTAAACATGTTTAAAACCATTATGTACGAGATAATGGCAAACTCAATATGCTAATTGAGTATAACTTTGACACTTTGTAGAGTATTGAGTTGGACTATAAACGAAGTTAATATTCAACAAACCAATCCTACAACGTTCAATAGGAGGTTCATTATTTAATACACGAACAAATTTGAACAGTAGTTTTTTTTAATTAAACAAACGAAAATAAAACAATAATCTCGTTTTTTTACGTTATTTATATTCGGTTATATATTATATTACATTATATACAATGTTTTAAAACGGATGGAAGTGAAAGTAGATACAACTTCTAGATTTGCAAAAATATAAAAAATGGCACTACTAAATAGTAAATACAATCAAATATAAGAAGTATTGATGATCTACCATTTGTTTCTTTACGTACATATTTTTTTTATATGTTCGTACATTTATAGTTATTTAACGTGCTAAAAAAATAAAAGAACAAACATAAACAAGTTAACTTACAACCAAGTAATTAATTATTCAAAAGTTAAAACACGAGGCGGCTAACGTAATTGTAGAACTGTGACAGTAATGGATTTCTTGTATTTTATAAGGACCAATTATGTGAATTTTACAACTATAAGAATGACCGCGTGTTCAACAAAAGAAGGCAAGTCGGACAAGACACGGGGGTCAATGTTTTAAAACTCGGATCGATCCGGCCGGTTGAACCGTGACCCGGTGTAAAAGGCGAGTCAATTGAGACCGGTTTTTTGTAAAAATACGAACCGGATCGAACCGGCCGGGTTTCCCCTAAACCGCGGTTCGACCGCTTATGTCGAACCGGTTAAAACCGGATTGACCCGTTTTAATAGGGTTTAGATAGTTTGATACAAGTATCGAACGTCAAAACAACGGGCCGTTTGCGGTTTCTTTAATGTTTTTCAATGTTTAAACTTTATGGATATCAAATTATTGATTTTATATGTTTATGGATTATACATGCAAATAAAAATATATAGAAATAGAAAAAGATCATAAACCGGGTTGACCCGGCGGTTCAACCGGTTGAACCGGTTGACCCGTGAACCGGTCATCACACCGGGTAAACTAAAAACCCGGGTTTTAAAACATTGCCGGGGGTTGAGGGTGGTGGGGACCAAAGAGACATTGCAAGAGTTATTCCCACGTGGGACTCCATCTGCTGTCACGTGATAAATATCTAGCTTGCTGAGTAGTACAGAGTACAGTCACGTGGTTACTTTTTCGTGAGCTCATGACTGTGCTGAATAAAATTATATTCCGGATTTCCGGTATTCCCATTCCTATGTTACATATAATTTTGCTCAAAATACAATATTAATATTTATTTAATGAAATGATTTATTATTCGAATTTAAGTCAATATA